TTAACGCAAGCAAAGGATTGCAGAAACCTTTTCAAATCCGAAGAGGGAATTTCTCCTTATAGCTAAGACAATCAGCATTGTTCATTCAGCTCATACTTTTGGCCATTTCTGAAGGTTGATCTCTGATCAGCTGTGCCCATAAACGGACAATCTCCGACCACTATGTTTCCCAAAATAATATGATCGGAACTTCTTACAAAGAGTTGACGATTCAGCTGGCAGGTTGCAAATAGTTATTTTATTTTAAAACTTCATTCTAGTGCTATTTTTGAATTTTGTCTACGGTTGGGTTTCAATTCGACCCGACCCGACTCCGTCATCATCGAGCAGCGTCAAAGTTAAGCGACACGTAAATTGTGTAAGCTATAAACCCCAAACCCCCAGACTCTTCTACCAGTTTCCTTCACAATTTTTCAAAGAATTTGCTGTAATTTTCGGAGTTTTGCCAAAATAATATCAAAATGCCTGAAGATTTTACCTCCCAAAGCGCAATATTTGGTGGCGCTATCACCAGTACTTTCCCCCTCCGTTTCCAGGTTGGTAATTTCTTTCGTTTTTCGTTTAATTTGTTGGTATAATGAAAAATAATGTTAGTCATGAATTTGTTCTTGTGCTGAAAGGATGTGAGTACTATTCGTCAAGTTCCTGATCATCAGGTTAGTTAATAATTAATGAAGATTATCGATTTTTTATTATTATTATTATTATTTGTATTATCATGTTTTTGGTGATGCAATGATGGTTTGCCTTTTGATTGTCTTGTTTGTGCAACGGTGGTGTTTTAGGAGGTATTTGTGGACCCCACACGCGACGAGAGCTTGATATTTGAACTGCTGGACTTGAAGGCTGACGTTCCGGATCAGGGCAGTGCGACTTGGTTTCTTCAAGATCTTGCCAATGAACAAGATGCCGAGGGAACTATGGTAAATTGGAATTTTTCATTTTGTTACTGAATTTGAAATCACCAGGTGGTATTATTGAATCTTGATTGATCAATCACAAATTATCGAGCTAGCTACCGACTATGTATTGGATTTTGATAATTAAATGAATCTTGAATTCTGTGCTGTTAGACTCATTTCGATTACGAGTTTCATAGGTAACAATTTTCTAGAGATAGGTCAATTACTTTCCTCCAATCTGCAACCATAGAATTGTGGTCCACCTGGTGTGGCTGTAACTTTGATGGTTGAGAGGGCAGTGGGAGTTACACTAGCATTAACGACTAGAACACATTTTCCCTTACTGGGAATTTCTTAAATTTGAACTTAATCACCAAAAGCATACATATTTTGGATTTTCTTATATGCAGTACAAGGGCGTATAGTTTCATAGAGGGGGTATGGAAAAGTCTTGTAATACCGTATCTTATTCAGTGGATCAATGTTATTGCAAAGTTTTTACATGGTTCAAGTTTTCACCTGCTTATTGAACCTCTTGTCCAGTTGTAGTGAAGCAACCTATAATTTACGAAGTTTTTGTTAATAATCTGTACAGCAATAACGGTTTATAAAAATGTAAAACTTTGAATTCCCACATATTCTTTCATAGGTTCTGCTGCCTAACCTTTTGTCTTTAACTTTTTCTATTAATGGTATTGAGCAATATGGGACAGTAAATCCATTATAATGAGCTGAGAATTTAATATTTTCAGGTACTTGAGCAATCAGGGGTACTCCTGGCTGATGGGTTGCAATACAGAAACATACCTGCTGTTGTTACAACTGCTACTGGGCAAATGGTATGCAATATTTAGAATCATATTTATATAGGGGAACATACTTTGGGCTTTTTAATTTTGTCTTTTGTTTTGTTTACTTTAGCTTCCTCATTGGTTGCAAGCAACAGCACATTAAACAGTGTGCCATAGGGTAATTGGGAAAGCATGTTAGAACTCCTTGCATGTTCCTATTATGTATTTGATGTGAAATATGAGAGAGTAATGTTAGGTGTCCAACTTGACTCTTTTCACCAGCTTCCACAAGAAACTGTATCCATACTCTTTTTTTCCTTCTCCTTTTAATGAAAATGAAAATTATTGAGTTCTTGAAATTTTAACGATTATTTCAAATCTTTGCTTAAAGAGCATGCATTCCTCACAAATGTATTTATATTGTGATTATAACATATACTCCTGGAAAGGACAAGTAATTGGGATGGAACAATGGTTCACACAACATTAACTGTAATTAAGTTTCTGCCTTGAATACTAAGATTTGTAAAACGTTCAACCATTGTAGTCGTTACTATAAATGAGTTGATGTTATGATAAGATCTTACTGTTGTAAAGTCCAACATTTCCCCATCTCAGTCAATACCTTCATTGACCAATCTATAATGTGGGGAATGTCTATATTCTTTTTGCCAATTGATGTACTTCCTTTGTAGGGCATATCCAAGGGAAGACAAGGAAGGGAAGCGCAAAATATCGTGAAGGTAAATTTATTCTCTCTTCTTTGAAGCACTTCTATATGCAGGGGACCAAATAGGGTCTGGCCATGTGGGGATTCGGATTGAAAATATGGACTGATTGCAGTATGTCTTTTTGTCAACTGAAAGAATGTGGAGAGATGTTTTCTGTATGTATTTATGCATGCATATAAGTATGTATGGGTGCCTGCTGGGTTGCATGGAGAAAAATGGTGAGGGAGCGAATGAAAGAGACGAGATAGAAAGGATGTTGGTGGGGGATATATTTAAGCTGTTTTGTGCAATCTAAATGTTGGTTTCTCCAGGTCTATTTGGCTAATTTGCGTCTCAAGGACGTTGGGACAGATGTTCTGATCACTGCATATGAGCCTATGTTGATAAAGTAAGTGGCAAAATCTTTCATCTGCCAATTCTTATCAGATAATCACTCTGTTTATTTCTTTGCTGCACATATGAAAGCTTCCCATGCAACATGGAAAAACGGCACTTTTTCTTTATTGGTTCTGCATCTTTGTGTTTCTTTTCATTCCCCCCCCCCCACCCCCCACACACACACACACACAAACACCCAGAGAAGGAAAGATAAGAATGATGTATTACTATTACTACTAAGGATCCATAATCGATTTTTGGCAGATTGACTAGTTGAGATGCACCTAATATAGTCTTTCATCTGCATTGTTTTTGCTCTTGTAGTCCTTTGAGCGAAAGTGCAAGCACGGTTGGGGCTGGTTTGGCTGTACCTGCTGCACAATCTGGATGTATGCCAATGGCTGAAGTGTTCAAACTTGCTGTTTCTAGTTTCAAGGTGAATGATTGGAGCCTATTTGGTCCCGTTGCTTGAGAAGTTCTGGAATGATGCCCGCAAATACAAATCTCTAATTATCCCAATGGTGCGTCTTTTATTTCCTGTCTTAGACCAGTTTTCTCTTCGAGTTAAATTTGTTTACTTGGCCGAGGAAAATATGTTGCTTGGATTTGGGCCCTTGAAAATATTTTAGTGGGTTAGGTCTCAAAATTTGATGATAATTATGCTGGATATTTGTGAATTCTTGTTATAGGTTACTATTCTTTCAGTGTCCTTTTAGGCTTTGGTGCCGATTGTAGGCAAAACTTGATATTTTCTGATGATACTCCATTGTTCTGTTTCACTCGCAACAGTGCCCAATAGGCAAATACTTTATATCACCTATTTAATAGTTCAAAATTGTTAGAACTAAGAACAAAAATAATGCAAAAATAATCTTTAAATAGAGGAAAAAAAAGTGTCCAATTTTCTTCATAATTATATCGGAAAAATGAAAATGTTTACATGCTAATAATAATTACAACATGATGAGGCTCCCTCTACAAAATAAAAGCAGAAAAAGTTTCATCTTTCCCTCTGGCAGTGAAAAGTGCTAGTAACTGGTGTAGTTGATTTCATCTGATACACTAGGCAACCTTGACAGACTGCCGTTGCTTCTCTTTGCATTTGGTCCAATCTCCTCTATCATGTACTTCCACCCATCAATAGGCCTTCTTTGACTAAATATGCGAGTCTTCATAAAACTAGCTAGCTGAATACAACAAACGAAGTAGTTTCAGAAAGAGAGAAAAGAAAGAAAACACGTAGACACAAACAATGTCAAACCTGTAAGAAAAAATCATCGCAAGACCTCCAAATATCCAACACATGCAATGGCGTTACAAAATCATCAACGAGAAAAGTGCAATAAACCACAAAGTTTTGCAATACCCTGAACCTGAAGTGTGAATGAAAGCAATACCATAATTTACGTTTCTACCCCCATCAATTTCAGGGTTTTCTTTTCTGAATATGCATATTAACAGGTAAGCACACAATCTCAAGCATGAAATAATAATGAGACTTAAAAGTGCATGACCACCAGAGCTCCGGATGTTGAGTTCTTTCAACACACCCCAATAGGCAACTAGGCTATTTTTAGAGTTAAATCGAAAGTGGAATTCGTCATGTGTTTTTTCCTTTCCCCGTGAATTTTTGGCAACAACCTTGTCATCAATAGGTAAGACGAGATACATTAGTATAAAAAGATAACTAAAGGGCAAAAGCATAAAAAATTGAATCTTTCATTTTTTTTCCTGACATAAGCTTTCCCCAGAATCACTAATCATAAGGAATGCAAGACACATCATACTAGGCTAAAAGGAATTTGAACTATCATTCTGCAAATTAATCATATGGTGAAGTAAGAAGACATGGCATTCTTTAATCTATACTCAACTGCATCAGAGTTGAAAATGTCAAAGATGTAGTAGCATTGCAAACATTGATTACAACAGTTCAACCATAGACAAACCTGGAACTTGTTGAATGCAATACGGCGCTCAAATTCTTGGAGCAGGATATCTTCTTCTCTCTGTGACATCTCCCAGATATTACCATCTGGAGTTTTTGATGTTGTTTCCCAACAATTATTGTCCAAATAATTGTTGCTGAATCAAATTTCCTGCATGGATGAACCCAAAAAGGTTATTTAACAAGGCGTTCCCAGAATCCCCCACCTCCAAACTTCTATGAGCAAACTCCACTAAGACACTATTTAGAACCAAATGAGGTGCTTCGTGTTAAGGCTTGATTACTGGAGAATATGTCAATGAAATGTCACAGCAAATGGTTAAGGTGTTTTATGGTAATATCCAGGGGAAACAATTCTAACAAGCAACTTTACTTTCAGAGGTGGAGCTTCAATGTCTTTTTTTGGAAAAAAAAAAAAAGTTCTACATGAACAGTGGTGGATCCCGCACCCAGCAAGCCCCGGTGGCCGCGCGTGCAGCAGCAATTAAAATGAAAGGTTCGGGACTGCAGCAGCAAAAATAAAAGATTAAGCTGTAATCTTCAGCAAATTGAAAGGTATGAGACCTCTGCTGCAATATTTCCCTTTTTTTAATTTGAAAAATAATTATGACAACTTACAAAAAGTGCCCCAAAAATTTGACGCCTTTTGAAAAATCATTTGAAAAGTGTTTTGGAAGTAAAAAATATTGTGTAAAATTTAATGCCACTTTTTTTAAAATAAATGTAACATACGTTTTACTTTTATTAAAAAGTGATATTTGTCACTTAAAAAAGGACAATTCAAAAAAGGTAACAAACAATGAAAAAAGGTAACAACTTTTTTTTTTTTTTAAAAGTGACACACAATAAAAAATAGCACAAATTAAAAAAAAAAAAAAAAAAAAAAAAAAAAAAAAAAAAAAAAAACAAAAAAAAAGATAAAAAAAAAAAA